CTAAGTCCTCCTCTAGGCTCAAAGCTAAAGCACAGGCTAGGGAGGGTGCAGCTGCTACTTTGGATAAGGCCATGGATAGTGAAGAAAGCACTACACTTGAGGATGATGCTAACCAACCTTGCCGTGAGAATTCCTCTGCCTTAGAACCGAAAGGGAACACTGAGGTGCTTACAGAGGTATATCCTATCCCTTCCTCTCATACTATTGTTGAACCATTTATAGATGGGAAGCTTGATAAGGTTGATGCTATTGATGAGGGGGATGTTGAACCTCTTAATGGTTGCTCTATTGAGGCTTCGGCTTCTATAGATAAATCTATTACTGAGAGGTCTATTGATTTGGTTGTTGAAGCCATTAATGCTGATTCTATTGAGGTCTCGGCCTCTATAAATAAACCTTCTTCTGACAGCCATATTGATATGGTGGTTGAACCCATTAATGGTGGATGTATGGAGGGCTCGGCCCCTTTAATTAATGTTAATGAAAATGTGGTTATTAAACCAAACATTGATACACATAATTTTGGTGCACCTAATAAGGCCCCTATGGTTGACACACCCTCTGCCGCGGCTGCTATTATTGATATAGAGGCCTCGGGCTCTACTTCTTCGGCCAAGGCCAATTTGATTGCCAATGAGGCGACTCCTTTAATTGATACACCTTCTATTGGCTCCCTAGAGGGTGGTGTGCCATCTAATGGAACTATTTCGCAAATGATTGTTACTATTGACAATGTCACTTCCAGCCCCTTAACAGAAAATATCACCACCATAGATAAGGTGGCCTCAGGTACCTTACCTACTGCCGCGGCATTGAACAAGACTAATGACAAAGCCATTCCCTCTAATTGGAATGAGACCGTGACTTCCCAACCTTGGGCATCCCTCTTTAAAGATAATAGGGAACCCAAGAAGGGTATGAAACTTAGATACATTGAACCGGTTGGAGACTATGTTGATCTCTCTAATAGGACCTTATCCTCCATGATTGAGCTATGGGGCTTTTGCCTAGTTGCCTACTTTGATGGTCGCTTTCCCGGTTTCAAATTGATACATGAGATGATGAACAAATGGAAAGTTCCTTGCCAAGTTAGATCCCATGACAAAGGATGGGTCATCTTTAAGTTCAAATGTGAGGAGGATAGGACCAATGTCCTCTTGGGAGGTCCTTATACTATCATTGGAAAATCTTTCCCCTTGAAACCTCTCTCGGACGATTTTTCCATGGATAGTGATGAATTTCTCAAGCTGCCCATTTGGGTTCAATTCCCTCATCTCCCTATGAAAATATGGGAGGAGGACATTATAAGTGAAATTGCTTCAAGGGTGGGTGTCCCCTTGGCTACGGATAGAGTCACCCAAGAGAAGGCTAGATCCCATTTTGCTAGAGTCTTGATTGAAATTGATGCCTCCAAAGCTCCTCCTCTTGAGTTTAAGGTGAAACTTCCCAATGGGAAATTCCATACTCAATATGTTAGGTATGAAACATACCCTAACTATTGCTTTCATTGTAAGACCTTTGGCCATCATGCCTTTACTTGTAAGGTTTTGGCCGAGAAGGAAAAGAAAGAAAAGGCTGAAAAAGAGGCAAATAAGAAGCCTAATGAGGCACCTATTCTTGAAAACAACACTCACACTCCTATCCCGAATAAGGCAAAGGGGAAAGAACCCTTGATTGCTCAAACTACTAAGCATGAAGGTTTCAAAGTGAAGAAAAATGATCATCCTTTCTTTAGGGTGACACGGCTTGGGAGAGGGTCAAAAAAGTATGTTATTGATGAGGAGGAGGACAAGTTTGACCCTCCCGTTAAGGAAATTGACATCATGGTGGATGAAACAGTCCGGGTCATTAAGACCACTCTTCTTGACACTTACACGGATGAGGTGGTGGTTGATATGGACTCCAATGACATTACCCAACCGATCATTAAAGTTAAACACCAAGATGAGGTGGATGTTCCTATTATTAAGCTTAACCATAATCTTAGGATTGTGGATAAAAAGGAACCGGGTTTGAAGGCCTTCCCGGGGTCAAACATAGAAACAAGGAGTATGTCTACTTTCCTAAATTCATGAAAGGAGTGTATAGACACTACCTCAACCGTTACTTTGAGGATGGCTATTTGCAAGGCAATGCCTTCAAGGTTAAGGACCTTAGGAAATTCCCACCTAACTCCACCCGAATCGTACATGACATTCAAGAGGCCTATCTTGATGATGTTGTGTTTAAAGTTGATCTTCATATTGACGGCAAACCTTGGATACATCTTAAACACATTGAGGATGTCAAGGAAGAGTTTACTAGATTTGATGACTATTTGGAGGTTACCAATAACCATTTGACCAAAGGCATCAATTTCACTAAAGATTGTTTGAAATCTTTGCCCGGGATTTATACCACGGATGAAGGGTATGTTTATTCCCCTATTTTCATGGAAAAGGTTTACTTCCTTTTCATGGATAGGTATAGGCCGAGAGGTAAGTCTAGGCCTAGGCCGAAACTTGGTAACCAAAGGAAGGATTTGGGGGAGAGGAACATCAAATAGTTCTTTATGTTTGTGTCATCTTGGAATATTAGAGGCCTTAATAAGGTCTCCAAACAAAATTCGATTGCCTCCTTTATCCGTAACAATAAGATTCATGTGTGTTGTTTACTTGAAACAAAACTGTCCACTCCTAACTTTGACAAAATTAGGTCTACTAGATGGCCTAATTGGCTATCTATGACCAACTTTGATAAGATTGAAGGTGGTAGGATTGCCCTCCTTTGGGATCCAAACTTTGTAAATATAAATGTGTTGGAAGTTGATAAACAACACTTGCATTGTGAGATTAAGTGTAAAGTGACTCAAAACACCTTCTTTGTCACTTTCATCTATGCCCTTTATACGGTGGTGGAAAGAAGAGGCCTTTGGGAACACATTGCTAGTCTTGAACCCAATATTAACATTCCTTGTCTTGTTATGGGTGATTTTAATTGTGTGGGCAGCCCTAACGAGAGAATTGGACCCTCCCCTCCCTCGGCCTACTACTTACAACATTTAAATGATTTCAAGGTTCAAGTGAACCTCGTTGATACCCCCTCTACCGGTGAATTCCTCACTTGGAATAGAGGTTCTCTTTGGGCCAAACTTGATAGGGTGCTCATGAACTCCCTTTGGTCTATTAACAACATTACTTGTAGTACGCATTTCTTGGAGATGGAAGTTGACTTTGATCATTGTGCTTCTCTTGTTACTATTGGTCATAATCACATTGGTGGTTCTAGGCCTTTCAAATTCTTTAATATGTGGCTTAATCATGAGGCTTTTGACACAATACTTACCACTTGACGTGCACTTTGTCGTGAGGTGCACTCAAAGTAATAATACAATACAACACAAATACGTAGTATAGTGAAGTAAGGTTCGTATCCACGGGGAAAGGAATACTTTTCTTCTTACAGAAATAGATAAGTAACAATAAGGGGGATTTAAATTTGGTTGATGAACTTTAAATTATATTTAAACACAAAGATGAACGAGTTATGTGGTTTAATTAATGAGAAGAAGGCTTGGTTTTGCTTTTATCCACTTTATGAAATATTCGTCGATCCCGGTTATATCTTTAACTATCTTCCTCTCGAATACTCAATCGAGGAGTATATCCAATTCATCGAGGGTAGTTATTAATAACGAGACGCGTTCATTAATAAAACTTACTACCGAGTTAATATAGAACACGCGCCATATATTTACTCGATAGTAGCAATAAAGTCAAGATGAAAACGATTGAGATTGATAACCTCAACACAAGCGGTTTATCGGTTTAATCAATATAATTAATTTCCCTTGGCTTATTAACCATGAGACGCATGCATTAACAACCCAAGTTTACTACCGTGAAAGGGCCGAGTTAATAACAAGCGTATTAATCGACCGATTCTAGTATTAATTAATATATGAAACAATACTAGTAGATCCTTTAAGTATTGCTCAAAATATTAATATGTAATAGGAATAGGAATTAATTAATATTCAAGGAAGAAGATTAAAGAAAATAACTCACAACTTACAATTCATTAAGCTTCAAAGTAGCAAAACCAAGATGGAAGAGTTTAGCTCCTCATTTGGAGACTAAACATGATAAAAATATAAAGAAAGAACTTGTCTAAACTGAGCTTAGAAGTATATGTGAATTGGTAGTCATCTTGTTGAGGAAATGGGGTGTATTTATAGGCTTTTTAGGCCTGCAGGGTCGTGTACCCGATCGGGTTTTCAGCCCTTCGATCGGGTACCAGATGTGGCTTCGGCGAAGCTGGAAAATGGGGTCATACCCGATCGGGTCTGTCGGTCACCCGATCGGGTATGGACACCCGAACGTGTTAAAATCTTCCCGCATGATGCCTTGTTCCCGGATTTGATTTGATTCGAAATTTCAGAAGGGTACCCGACCGCCTAGTTGGTTAAATACGGTACGGGAATTAAACGGTGTTCAATACGGCGGTGTTTTATTCGGTGGCATGGACAAAAAAAACGGTCAAAAAAACGGTAAAAAAACGTTGACTTTTAAAAAACGTTTAAATACGTATACGTGAATTATACGATTTTTTTTTGAAAAATTCGGACTAAAAAAACGGACATTATTTTTACCATTAAAGCATACTAGTATTTAGATCATAAAATACATATAACAAAAACCTAAAAGAAAAACAAACCAAACACATTTTGAAGAGAAATTTAAACTAAACACGCATTCAATCATATTTAACTAACTACTTAACTAGTAAATCATAATATCATATTACTCCATAAAAAGATCACAATATAACTGATAGCATAAGTCCATGACAAGAAAAGAAATAGGAATTAAGTCAACATATAAATCCAGCAACAATTATGTCTAACAATGTAGCACATCATGACAAAAAAAACAAAATGAACTCAGCAACAATTATGTCTAACAATGTAGCACATCATGACAAAAAAAACAAAATGAACTCATCATGTTCATCAAATAGCATCCAAGTTAAACTCGTCATCTTCATCACCATCACCGTCATCGATGGTTAGACAAATTGAGTCAAGATTGTCAGGTCCTTCCATTGAATCTATGATTGAAGCCTCTTCCATCGTAAGAGCTCCACTACAAATCGGTTCCACTTCTTCTCCGTAATCCGGCCAATCCTTTAGACTTGTCAAATCAATTGGTTTCATGTCGGCCACTTCTTTACTTTGAAACTTCTCTATCATCATGGAATTCATCCTCACATAAACTAGAGTTCCAAGCATTTGAGGAGTCAACCTGTTTCTCTTCTTGGTTTGGGCCGCTTCAAAAGTACTCCAATTGCGTTCACATGAAGAAGAACTACATGGCTGACTCAAAATGCGAATAGCATATTTTTGAAGCACTGGAAGAACATCACCACAAACATCCCACCATATTCCTTCAACAAAAAATAAGTGAAGGACATACAATTAAGAAATAAAAAATAAATTAAACAATAGTGTATTCAAATAAATCATTTACGTTAAGATTTAAAATAGTTAGAACAAACTTACTAGGATGATATGTTTTTAGCATTGCTTTGGCAGATGAGGAGAATAAAGGGGCATAAGACATGCGATAAAGTTGCACTTGCTCAAGAAAAGACTCCTTTTCGGCCACTGAAACTAGATTATCATAAATGTAACTAGTTCCTTGTTTCATCTCCCAATTTTCCTTGAAAGAGTCACTAAGCATATATGCGGGATTAAGGAAGGCAGCTGCAGCATGGATGGGGTGAAGAATATTTTCATTTCGCCTCTTTTGCAATAGTAACTTTATGCGGCCATATTTACCCTCGTTCAAAGCACTCTTAAAGTCGATAGATTCTTTTGCCATCTCCATCACCATCAACTAAACGAAGGATTCTCACAAGAGGCTCTAAAACATCAATAACTTCTTTTGCACGCGTCCAAAAATCGGGATCTTGAATGATACATGTGACCCTTTTCCCTTCAGATGACTTAGTATACTCTAAACCCCTCCAAATAGGAGATGCCACGAATAACCTTAATGCATTCTCAACCTCAAGAACAGATTGAAGAACAATAAAATTCGAAGCAAATCGAGTGGCACACGGTTTTTTCAATTCCCTCCCATTTGTAGCATCTCTCATTAATCCAGTAATAATTTGATGCCTATACATAAACGACTGGATTGACTTTGCATCATCAACAGCACTCCTCACCCACTCAAGATCCTTATAAATGTCCTTAAAAAGCAATTGAATGCCATGAGCAGCGCATTTGGTCTTATACATGGTGGGGTACTTTCCAACTAACATCTCACCGGCACTTTCAAAGTTCGAGGCATTGTCAGTCACAAATTGAACAACATATTGTGGTCCAACTAAATCAATAACTTTAGAACACAACTCTTTTAACAAATATCCTGTTTTCCTCTCTTTAGAAATCTCAATAAATTGCAAGAATACGGCACCTCCAGGAGAGTGTGCAATAAAATTAATATAGCACCGTTGTTTGAGATCACTCCAAGTATCAGACATTATAGTACAACCAGTTTTTTCCCAAGATTTTTTTACATTCTTAACATATTCACCAACCTCTTTCTTTGCTTCCGGAATAAGCTTCGTTCTCAAAGTCGTGTAGCTAGGTAACCTATAAGTTGGTCCAAACTCACCCAAGGCTTTCACTAAGTTCTTGAAGGAATCACTTTGAATAACATTAAAAGAAATATTATTCATGATGAAAAACTTAGTAAGCAACTTATCCACACCACTTTTATCCATCTTTTTATCATCTCAGGCATCGTGGTTTGTTGCAAACCCATGAAAGAAGAGGGATTATCGTTCATACCAGAAGAGGGAGTACTGACCGCACTTTTGCTTCTTTTATTTGAGTTCTTTTCCAAAGCAATGAAGGCTTGTGCTTGAACATCATCGGGAACTTGAGTACAAATTTCAACATCATGGCCTCTGAGTCCAGAAAGATGAAACTTTACCCTCGTTATTCCACCCGAATACTCCTTCTGACAATATCTGCATTTGAATTTATTATCAAGCTCATCTGCGTGCTCCCAAAGAGGATCTTTTTTCCTCACCATTATACCACCTAATAAAGAGCATAATATATAATAAATTATTGTTAGAACAAAAAATATTAACTTACAAATAAATTTACATGACAAATAACCCTTTTCGAATAACTAGATTCTAGAGGCAGAATGTTGATAATTTCATTTAGCAGTTTAGCTACATACGTTATATCTTTTAAAAAATGATTTAATTATAATAATAATGGAAGAATAATTACTCCGTATTTAGTTTTTATGAAGTCATTGATGATCAAGTGATGATCAAGTAACTTTGGTAAATAAGAATAATTATATCGTAAATTGCAAAAATAAATTGTTGCTTTCACAAATCTAAACATAAGAACGTAATAGGCATATCATTGAATAATTACTAATCCTTTAAGTGTCTAAAATCTAAATACGAAGTATGATGAACTCATGAAAGTATTGAAACATATCATTAAAAACCTGAGTTCAACTTTAGATTTTAGAACCCAACGGGATGGAGAAGATCGTCGAAGTCTTCAGACGTGTTCTGTTGATAACTTGATACTTGATAACTTGATATTCCTTAGAATCCGTACTGATTATGGAAGGGTCCGATATTGCTGCTGTGAATTATGGATTTTTTTTGTTTTCAAAAAAAGTACGAATCTTTTAAGATGGAAGGGGAAAAGGCGGATCGCTAAAAGAGGTCTACACTTCGGATTTTTAGGAATCGTTTCCTATTCTAAAACTAATAAATCAATTGCCGGCATTTAGCCATGTACCGTTTTTTATAAAAATTCGTTGGGAAACCGTATTTTTCCGTTTAAAACGCACCGACCTTTTTTTTCGTTTAAAACGCTTTTTTTTAATCAAAAAAACGGTACGGGTTTTAAACGAGTTTTAAACGGCAAAAAGCTAACTAGGCCCGACCGGGTATAGGTCATACCCGATCGGGTAGAGACCAAAAACGAGATCTTCAATCTTTTTCTTGCATTCTTGCACCTTCCTTGCACTGGTGATGTTCACCAATGGTCTCCAAAGTGTATTTGGACCTGTTTGAGCTCAGAATAAACCTAATCTAAACATATTACAAATATTTTACAAACTAAACTATTTACACCAAAAGTGTGTAATTTCCAAAGTAACAATCACTCGAAACTAATTAAAAGCACAAATTTAAATATGGAAATTACATGAATGTCAACTCCCCCACACTTAGTTTATTTACTCGACCTCGAGTAAAACCAAATGTTTACATAATGTCCATCAAAAGACCATGAGTTCATAGATAAGAAGAAATAAGGAACTAAAACCACCAAGTATTGTAAATGAAGTTACAAAACAAATTTTTCCTTGGGTTTAATGGTCTTCTATGCTCCTCACTTCTTCTTCTTCCTTTCTTCTTCCTCCCCAAGAGATAGTGCCCTGCAAAACGCAAATGCTTCTCTCATATCTCTCATTTTGCCTAGGAGCCTTTTCAGGTTTTCATCCTAGCATCTCTTTTCTTTTTCTTTCTTACCACTCACTCATCATTTTTTTTTGTAAGCCCTTGTTGCCTAGATTGCCCTTTTTGGGTTTTCAACCTAACTAGCATTTCATTTCTTTTTTTTTTTTCTTTTTTTTTTATGAACAATTTATTTGTAGAAAATAACGCTTAGTACAAGGTAAAAAAAAATAAAGGGATTGTGACATACCAAGAGATGATGCTTCCTCCCCCACACTTGAAACGTGGCACTATCCTTAGTGCCCACCTTCTCCGCCATAATAGCCGCCTCCAAAGCCGCTCCCATGCCTATCATCGCCGCCTCCCTCTCCCATCGTAGTATCCCCGCCATCATAGCCACCACCGCCGGAAGTAGAGCCCCCAAAATGACCCCAATCCGAGGGGTTATACCAAGAAGGTGCCGGTGGTGGTGAGGACATAGATGCAAATCCGCCAATGTTGGACATGTATGAGTATGTAGGCCCATACATCCTCCGGTAGTCCTCTTCATACCGTTGCATGTCGGCCGCCCTTTGCTCCTCCATCCTTTGGAATGCCGATTGTTGTTCGGTCCGGAAGGCATCAAATTGGCGGTCCCTTGCTTGTTGCTCCGCCCGGTATTGGCCTAACTCTTCTTGTAGTTGGGTAAATTGCCTACCCATCTTTGTGTAATCGAGGCTCATGGTTTGGAAACCGGCAAGGAGGGATTGTTGACCCGCCAAGAGTTGTTGGAAAAAATCTTGGGGTGGCGGGTTTTGAGGAGGGTCGGGGAGAGCATTGTGGACATCTTCATATCCTTGATTGTCGGCTTGATCGGGATGATGCTCGGGTTGGTCTTCGGGTGGGTTGGCTTGATCTTGTAGGTGGGGTGGAATGTTGTTTGGGAGGAGGTAATGGGGGATCTCAAAGGTGGTCATCCTATACCTAAGCTTAGGCAATTCATCACAAGGGAGGGGGAAATATTTGGTGGGTTCGGGGTACTTCATGTGCCACCTATAGCGTTGGTTGCCATTGTGGTCTTTGTTGCCCAAAGATATCAAACCCGCATTGGACAACCAACCAAGGTGCATTAAGCAATCGGGGTGAATTGGAGCATTGTCCGTATAGCCGAATTTGCTCACTAGGTGCATTACAACCCCCCCAACCACAATGTTTCCGGTCTTCTTACATGCTTCCTCCAAGTGATCCCACATTAAATTGCAAAGATTGTATTCCGTGGGTCTATGAAAAAGGGCTAGAGTGAGTACGGCCACGTCCCCCATCCGAGTATGGTGATTATTGGGGCGACCAAGCAAAGAATTGCACAAGAACTTTAGGAACATCCGGAGAAGAGGATGTTGAACGCGACTAATGGACAATTTAGATGCGTTCACCTTCCTTTCTCCGGTCATTTTGGCCCATAAAGTGTGCCCGTCAAGTGTGCTCTCCGGTATCCCCCTTTCATGGGGTGCGGGAATGCCGAAGTGTTCCGCAAACTCACGTCTCGTTATTGAGTATTCGTTGTTTAACCAACGAAACGTGAGCTTGTCGTAGAGGAACTCCGCCGGGTCATCATGTAGAACAACTTTAGCCGAACTCATCACCTCATAAATCACTTTGTCAACACAATTATACTTCATATTAAAAATCAAATTCATCTCCAACCTATCAAATAATTCCCTCATTCCATCCAACAAGCCTAGTTGTGTAAGAGCATTATGACATAGGAATCTAGAAGGAACTACTTGCCTTTTGATGATGGCCAAAAATCGTTTGCGGTGATCTCCCGGCCCAAAGCGGATGGTCTCATACCCCGGGATTGGTCCTCTAGCATTGGAGCTCTCCGGTTGGCTTCTTTTTGGTGCCATTTTGCCCAAATTTAAGGTTTGAATTCGGATTTGGGGGTTTTTTGGGGTAGGGTTTCGGATTTTTGGGGAGAGAGGGAGATGTGGTGATTTTTGGGTATGAGGTTGGAGAGGGTGGTGAGAGGAGTGTTTTGGTGGTGGTATGAGAGGGTTTGGTTGAGTGTTGGGTGAGTTATGGAAGGTTGAAGGTTCGAAAATGGAGGTTTTGGGGAGAGTGGTTTGAATTTTTGGAGGTTGGGGAAGGTGAAATGGCCGAGGATGAGGCTGTTCGCAGTTAAAAGTTCAAGTACCCGATCGGGTGGCCCGATATACCCGATCGGGTAATTTAATTCGAAGGATTTTTTAGCTTTTCTGATTAATTCACCCGACCGGGTGCCTCGAATACCCGATCGGGTAAATTAATTCGAACTGAATGCTGGTTTTCCAGAGTATCTTACCCGATCGGGTGACTTGAATACCCGACCGGGTATCACGTCGTTTTTTTAAAATTTGCTCCAGGGGTTCTCACCCGATCGAGTTTGGGGATACTCGATCGGGGAATTTAATTCGAAGAAAATATTTTAAATTTCCGTATTATACCCGATCGGGCTTTATGGGTACCCGATCGGGTACTCTTTTGAAAATTTTCTAGCTTCCCGACCGGGTCTTCTGAAGGCCCTTCCTTTTCATATGTACCCGATCGGGTATAGCAATAGTGCCCGATCGGGTACCCTACCCTGGGACGTGTTTTTGTCCAGTTTTAACCTCTTTTTAGCGCGGATCCGATCGGTTAAGTGATGAAGACCGATCGGAGATTTTCCCAGGCTTCCAAAACATGGTTTTCCTTCATTTTTTTTTCTTGAGAATTTTCCCCCATTTTCTCAAAATTGACATTCAAAAGCAAGAATTTGAAAAGAAAAGAAGAAAAATGCGTACCTTGACTTGGGTTGCCTCCCAAGAAGCGCCTTAGTTAACGTCGCGGCACGACGCCATAGTCATGTTCATCCTTCATAGATTGGATCGAAGAGATCCATGCATTCAACGCTCTCTTTTTGGAAGCCCTCAAGGAATGGTTTGAGTTGATGTCCATTAACCTTGAAGATTTTATCGGTGTCAAGGCTTTTGATCTCAACCACTCCATGTGAGTAGACTTTGACCACTTCAAATGGTCCTTCCCATCGTGATCTCAGTTTACCGGGGAAAAGACGAAGGCGTGATCGGAATAGAAGGACTTTATCTCCAACTTGGAAGTCCTTCCTTATTATCATTTTATCATGCCATACCTTCGTCTTTTCCTTGTAGATGGCGGCATTCTCATAGGACTCAAGTCGAAGCTCCTCTAGCTCTTGGAGTTGTAGCTTCCTTTTCATCCCCGCTTGCTCCATGTCAAGATTGAATGTTTTTACCGCCCAATAAGACTTATGTTCGAGTTCGACCGGGAGGTGGCAAGCCTTCCCGAATACAAGTCTATAGGGAGACTGTTAGTACCCAATTTTGGTAAATTTTGATGATGCCACTATACTAAACAATTGTACATTGAGTCTTATTTGCAAAAGTAACATTTAAATTTAAATCATAAGTGACAAACATAAATGTACAATCTTTAAGATTAATGATATATTACCGGATACATAAAATGCAATAAGGTAACTTTTTACCTTCTTAGGATATTTAAATCCTACCGGCATATATCAT